CTTCGTTTCGTACGTGATATTTGAAATTGAATAAAGTTTCGTCAATGAATGAGACGTGTAATATATATATATATATATATAAAAAGAAAAATGTTAATAAGCAAGAATTTTCAATTAAATTGTTCAGAGGATACCGGTTAAAATTAAAAAAAAAAAAAAAAAGGAAAATCTATGCATTCGTCGTGTGAAATCTAATTGAAAGTGGTTTCATCGTTATTAGATCATTTCACGGGTAATGTCGTTTTAAAAATCCAGTTTCCATGGAAGAAGAGTAAATTAAATTTATTTCATTTTTTTTCCTTTTTTTAGATGTATATTTTTAACGTTCTTTTTTTTTCAAAAATTTCTTGTCTTAATTGATCGAGCAATATATAATTCTGACTGAATTTGTTTTTTTTTTATTTCGTTTTATTTTAATTGTTTTTCTCTGCTCGAACATAGTAATGGAAATGGCTCTTGCTAATGCCGGTCATTTATCTACCAAAGCTGCGTGTAATCTGTTTAATCGGTAACAATAAACTACAACCAGAACAGTTTCACTTTACTTTGCAAGTTTATAACCGAACGAAATTTTTTTGTTAAAAAGAGATCGAATTTTATACGTCAAGTATTGCCTTTTACGATTGAAATTGCTATGCAAGATTCATTTCTCATCCCACATTCTCGTTTCACTCTAGAAAATCAAACATCTGTATAAGTGTGATTTCCTCTGAAAAGTTTGCCCCTGAGAAAACCCATTTCCTCAATTTCGACACTTTTCCAATATCGTTCGACTACCGTTTGTGGACAGCGTCGAATCGAAGAATTTGCTTCTTGGACGTATCAAAAATATTTTATTCAAATATAAAAGCCGACATTACTCATCGAGATGATCCAATATCGAAACGCGAAATCTAATTTTGTGCATCCTAAAAAGAATTCACGTATGTATTGTTGTGTAACGCTATTTAGTGCCTTTTTTTTTTTTCGTGCTATTTAAAACTTTAACTTTAAAGTTTCTACGTCGAATCAGCTACGCTAATCACGTTACTCATGCCACAGTTTCATCCATTTCCTCTAATCTCGTGAAACGAAGGAGTAGGGAGTAGCAAACGAGACGCAAGGAACGAGGAACAAGAAACAAACTATGAGAGAGCGGATTACTGCTAAAAAAAAACGACGAATTAGCCATT